TTTTTTTACTTTCGAAAAGAAACCAGTTTAAGTCCTCTAAGAATAAAACGAGAGTATTTTACAGATAAGCACATGATTGGGGCAAAGATTTCGGGCTTCGGACTGCTGCTGTTCGGCTGGTAAACGTCGGTGGGGCCGTTTAATACTCCTCTTGCTCCTCCGGAGGGGCTCCTTCATCGGGTATCACGAAGCCTTCCTAAGAGAGAAGGGGAGTCGGGAAATTAAGAAGGGCGGCTGCGCAGGAGGCGCTTAGGTGGGGATCAGGGGCGCATTCTCCAAGGGGGCCCGGCGGGGTGGACACACGGTATATGAACGATCAGCGGGACAGCCTGCCTCCAGAAGTTCTGGGGGCTCCATCACTGGGGGGGGGGTGTTTAAGAAGAGACTGGACAGCCATTGGTCTGGAACGGTCAAGCCTGCTTGAGGTTGGACTAGAAGACCTTCAAGGTTCCCTCCCCACTCTGCTATCCCTGTTTCCCCGAAAATAAGACCAGGTCTTATATTAATTTTTGCTCCAAAAGATGGGTTAGGGCTTGTTTTCTGGTTAGGTCTTATTTGGGGTGAAATACAGTTTAACTAAATGCATCCGTCTGGCTGCCAGCCTTAACTGAGCCTTATTTTGGGGGTAGGGGTTATATTACGAGCATCTGTGGCCTCTGGGGTGCGGTGGTCAGAGTGCAGGACTGCAGGGCTACTTCTGCTGACTGCCTGCAATTTGGCAGTTCAAATCCCACCAGGCTCAAGGTGGACTCAGCCTTCCATCCTTCCGAGGTGGGTAAAATCAGGACCCAGATTGTTGGGGGAAAGAGGCTGACTCTGTAAACCGCTTAGAGAGGGCTGGAAAGCACTATAAAGTGGTACATAAGTCTAAGTGCTATTGCTATCCTGAAAAATCATGCACAAAATGCCTCCGTTGCATAGAAGCGAGTGGCAAAAGGGCCGAGAACACACACTTTAAAAAATTAAATACAAATTAATAAACAAAATAAAATAAAACGTCACCAACGGTGAAACTGAAAATCACTCCAATGAATCCCAAAAGTGTCTTTTTTCCCCCAAAAGACAACCGGACTTTCTTTTGGGGCAGAGGGTTGAAAATGTTTCACTTCTTATTCAAGAACCTTCTCCAGTCCTGGTGCTGTTATTTTATCATCATCATCATCTTTGGGATGGTGACATTGGGGTGTTTTTTGGGGGGGGGGGGGGGGGGGTGTTCTTTTTCTTCCTTTTGGGAGTGGCCGCATCGGGATTTGGTTTTCATATGTGCCATTGTGTGCACAGAAAAATGACCATCAAGGTTATTCAAGTCGTGCAGGTGAACACCCTGGGAAAGTGCACAGGAGGAAAAGCCGGCCCCCCAGTTAGGCCCGAGCCCAAAGTGGGGAGGGGGCCACTGCCAGACCCCATCTACTTACATCTGTAGCATAAAGTATTTCCACGATTCTCTGGAGGACCGGATCACTTTCGCCTTCGTTCTCCTGGCAGATCAGCTCGATGTTCCTCAGCTTCCCGAAGTAGAAATCTCGTTCCTTTTCTAAATCTTCCACGGTTATCTTTAATGCGTTGATCTGACAAAAAAGAATGGCTCGTCTCAGAGCAAGTCGCTGAAGAGACGCTACCACAGAGAGCCCCGGTGGCGCAAGGGGTGGGGAATGCGGCAGGGCAGGCTGACTCTGCTCAGTCAGCAGTTCGATCCTGACCGGCTCAAGGTCAACTCTTCCTTCCAAGCTCAGAAAAAGGAGGAGCCAAATTGCTGAGGCCAAGAGGCCGACTCTGTAAACCACTCAGAAACGGCTGGAAAGCATTGTAGAGCCATATATAAGACTAAGTTCCTTTCTTTTCCTTTCCCCTTTCCTTTCGCTTCCTTTTCTTCCTCCCTCCCTCTCTATTTTTCCTTTCTCTGAGCCCTGGTGGCACAGTGGTTAGAAAGCAGTATTGCAGGCAAGGGGAGAGGGAAGAGATTTCTGTGAGTGTGGCAGGCATCCAACTAAGCGCATTCAGGTAAGTGGCAGGTGGGGCGCCCCACTCACACAAATAGAGCTTGAACGCTCACCTCTTGCACAAACAGAGCCTTGTCTGCTGCTTGCACGGCCCGATTCCAAACCGTCCACGGCCTGGAGATTGGGGGCCCTTGTTCTAATCAACTCACAAGTCCAAGAGGGGCTAATAGACACTCCCCTCCTCCAGGGACCCCTTTGGAGACCCCGTGGTTTAAATTCAGCGTGTGAAGGGGTTCCAAATTTCCATGAAGGAAAATCACAGCTGCCCACATCACAATCCACCATTGGAAGAGAAGTTGCCCTCGGAAGTTGTGGGAGCTTCATCCCTGGAGACTTTCAAGAAGAGACTGGACTGCCCTCTTTCAGAAGTGGGGTAGGGTCTCTCGCTTGGGAGGGGGGTTGGACTAGATGACCTCCGGGGCCCCTTCCAGCTCTATTACGATTCTGCTATTCAGAAGTGGTGGGAGCTTCATCCCTGGAGGCTTTCAAGAAGAGACTGGACGGCCACCTGTCAGAAGTGGGGTAGGCCAGCGGTGGCTAATCTTTTTGGGCTCCTGTGCCACATGTGCGCTTGCATGCCAGCACCCAGAAGACAATGCGCGCACCCCTCCTTGCCCCTTGCGCATGTGTGCGCAATCCCCCCCGCCGCCGCCCGCTTACCTGCACTGCGCCTCACAGCTGATTTTCAGCCCATTTGAGGCCTTTTTTGCCCTCCCAGAGGCTTGAGGAAGGCCTCTGCAGGCTTTGCAGGCCAAAAAATGGGCCCATTTCATCACTTCTGGTATTTCCGGAAATACAGGAAGTGACGAAACGGGCCTATTTTTCGTCCTGCAAAGCATGCAGAAGCTTCCCTCAAGCCTCTGGGAGGCCGAAAAAGGCCTCAAATTGGCTGAAAATCAGCTGTGAGGCGCGCGCATGCTTTCCACCTGTGGCTCTGCTTTCCACCTGTGGTACGCGTGCCATAGGTTTGCCATCACGGGTGTAGGCTGTCCTGCTTGGGCAGGCGGGGGGGTTGGACTAGGTGACCTCCAAGGTCCCTTCCAACCCTGGTATTCTGTTGAAATTAATTGTGGCTGACAAGACATCTCACACGCGCACACACACTCCCGAAAACCCACCTGCTGTATTAATTCGGCCGATTCCTCCTCTCCGATTCCCCCAGGAGCCTTTTTGATCATTGGAGGCCCCGGTTTATTCGCCACTGTTGTCCGTTGTGCAACCATGGGCCGCGTCGGGGCTGCAAGAGAGGAAACGCGTTAGCCACGCTCTGCCGTGGGGGGGGCGCAAGGCCTCAGCACCACTGCCAACCGAAGTGAACGACACCCGAAGTGTGCAACCCGGTGTGCTACACAAAGCCCAGAGAAAGAGAGTGAAGCGCCTCCTTCCGCCCGTTTAGTACCGATTGTAGCAGTTTTCTTTAAGGACAGAGGAGACTCTGCTCTTGCTGCCTTCGGTTCCGAAGTCCCCACAAAACTGTTATCTACAAAAAGAGAAGGTTTCTAACCAGGACGCACAAACACAAGGCACTTCGCAATCGTAAGATCTCGGGATCGTCATCCTCTCCTTTTAATGACCCCATCATCCCTTGCTTCGGGGTGGAGTCTGGGCAACTGAAGGGAGCTGAGTATTTATTGGCCAGATGCCCTTCCTGTCGCCAATGCGGAGTTTTGTTCGGCAGATGTATTCTCATTGTGCCCAGAGAGAGAAATATCTGCCTCTACCCAGGATCGAACTCACAGCCTCCCGATTGTGAGGCGAGAGCTCCGCCTCTCAGCCATGCACCACTCAGTGAAGGAAATCACTCATCATCATCTTTTAATAATCCCATAATCCCTTGAGGGGTGGAGTCTGGGCAACTGAAGGGAGCTGAGTATTTACTAGCCAGGTGCCCTTCCTGTCACCAATCTGAAAGTTTTTCGCAAGATATCTTCCTCTACCCAGGATCAAACTTATTAACTAACTAGGACACCCAAACACAAAGCACTTTGCAATCATAAGATCTCGGGATCGTCACCCTCTCCTTTTAATGACCCCATGATCCCTTGCAGGCTGGAGTCTGGGCAACTGAATGGGGCTGAGTGTTTCCTGGCCAGGTGCCCTTCCTGTCACCAATGCGGAGTTTCGTTCAGCAGATCTATTCTCATCGTGCCCAGAGAGAGAAATGTCTGCCTCTACCCAGGATCGAACTCACAGCCTCCCGATGGTGAGGCGAGAGCTGCCACTCCATTACAAGATCTCGGATGAAACACTGAAAATGCAAAGCCTCCCCACCCCCGTCTGCACAGCTGAGGAAGAGCAAAAAGAATGGGCGACTTCAAAACAAAGGGGCAATTCCCCCCCTCTCCTAATTTGGGGGGAACAAACGTTGAGTGCTTGCAAAACTTAGCATCGGGCAAGGGCCTCCACAAGCGCCCCGAATTTTACGAAGGCTGCACTGGCTAGATTGTGAAAGAACTGCACAGCTTGATTGTTGCTCTAGTGTCGATCTTGATGTTGAGGAACGAACAAGACCGCTCCCGCTGACAAGGCAAGCCACTAGCTTATGAACAAAGAGCAAACCCCTCTCCCTTCTAGCACTGATGACGTTACCTAGCTGGGTCATGAAACGTCTGCAAGGAAACCACCAAGCTCAGAGAGCACCAAGGAGCCCACAGTCCGTCCTTCTGTCCTTCCTTCCTTTCTCCCTCCCTCCCTCCTTCCTTCCTTCCTTCCTCCCTCCTTCGCCTCTCCCCTCCCTTCTAGCACTGATGACGTTACCTAGCTGGGTCATGAAACGTCTGCAAGAAAACCACCAAGCTCAGAGAGCACCAAGGAGCCCACAGTTCAATCCTGATCTAAAAATATTCTCTTCTACGGGGGTCTTAGTTCTAGAATTCCTCTGGTAACGGATGTTGTACACTTGCTTGTGGGAAAATGAAATGAACTGCTGTATCTCCCCAAGATGCTGCTTCAAGGTCCCTCGGCTGGGAGAAGAAACGGCCTACCAAGCTACACTTGAAGTGACTTCTGAGCGCACCTTGCTTGAATCTGACTGGGCACGGGAGGGCCGGTGACAGGAGGCAGGTAAGGGAGGGAAAAGTTGGATTTAGGGATCTGGGCGCACCATGCTCCGTTCTGGCTTTGCGTTACTGCGATACACACTTGGCTTCTGATAAAGCTACAGCTTTCTCCACAAACAGGAGGCCAAGGATCATTTCTAAGTAGAGGTTTAAAACATGGCAAGTCTTGACAGGTGTAGCCTTTAAATCAAATCACTGTCAGGATTCCGGCAGTGACCCCGATTTAAATCATGAGTCTCGAGCCAAAGTTCCAAAACTTCGAAAGGATTTATTGGGAGTTAACATGTCCCGCACTGCACGGGTGTAGCGGACTCTGAGGCACATCATTCACTATCACCCTTGACCCTGGTTTTCCCTCCACCCCCTGGGTGTATCCTAATTCCTATTCTCCAATGGGACACCTCCATCGCCCAGAGTCCTCAATCATGCTCTCCAGTTAGATATTTATAATTAAGATTATATTTATAAATATATAAAGATATTTTTTTTTTGATATCATATCTATAAAATGTCTTTTAGGGTAGATTTGGTATGAGTACATGATTTGTTATAAAATAAACTAAGCAAATTATAGTTATCTCGCAAAGTATGTATGAATAAAATTATAGCCAAATGATTGTTTAATAGTGATACTAGGGTATTTAATTTTTGATTAATAATATGAGTCATTATGTAATTTAACTGTAATTGAGACTATGAAATGGATGCACAAAAAATCGGTAAACCAACCGACACACTGTTTGTATATTTATGAAAGAAAGCTGGATGTTTTTGTTTTGTTTGTGTTGTTTGTTTTTAAAAACCAATAAAATTGTTTTCAAAAAAAAAAAAGATATTTGCGCGCAGAAACGTCAGTCTCCTACTTCCTATCTTTGAAAACATTTATGGAATGCACTTCCAGCTTGCAAGCTGCCGCGCTGCTCCCCCCCTCCCTTTCTCTTGGCAACCCTAAAAAGACCAGGGAAATATTTTATGAATTGACAATCACCACCACACCTTGGCCAGGATAACCTTGTACATTTTGCCACGTTAATAAGCGTTAACTTCCAACCTGGCGAGCAACGCCACCAAACCCAGGCCAAGGCACAAAGGAGGAGGCCTGAGATGCTGTCTGGGGATGTTCCCTTCCTGGGCCTCCCCGGATGTTGGGACTGCTTCTCCCATCGTCCCCAAACAGACAACCTGGCCCAGGTCGGAGCACTAGAACTTCCAAGCGCCCAGGGCGCCCGACGCAAAGCCTCTCTCTCTTACCCGTGCCACCGGAGCCCAGGTTCTTCTTGGGTTTGTTCAGTATCGGGACCACCAGAGCCGGGGCGGGACAAGTCTCATGGCCTTGCCGAGCTGCCACGGGGTCGTAGTCCTTTCCATCGTAATTGGCATCGAAGAATTTCTTGAACCACTGAACAAATTCGAAATTGTCTTGGAATTTCCCTTTCACTAATTTGTCCACAGGTATTATCTGAGGAGAGAAGTTAAGGACGTTTAGCCCGGACGAGAAATGTAGTCCAGAATTCTAGCAGAGAGGTTTCTAAAAGCAGGACAGGTAGGGCTCGACTTATGACTGGCCGTTTAGTGACCATTTGAAACTCCGACGGACGTAACAGGGAAAGTACTTGTCACCCAAAATTCAAAGTTCTTATAGTCTCCCCCTCATTCGTGTGACTTGGGCACTTTGGGCCACGTCTACATTTGTTTGCTGCGTTCTGCAGTCGTGTGTCTCTGTTTTACCACAGTTCTGCCAAAAAACCCTGGCACTTAAATCAGGTTTACAGCAAAACTACACTATAACGAGAACCACTGGTTCGTTTTCCAATGGCTGGGAAAAACTGTCATAAAATCGATGAGAGAGAGAGAGGGAGAGAGAGAGAATCCTTCAGCCATGCATGGCTGGCTGAGGAATTCTGGGAGCTGAAGTCCACAAGTCTTACAGTTGCCAAGTTTGGGTATAACTGTTCTATGCCGTGCATGACAGGATCCTACAGAACATCCTAGAATTCTGTTTGAATTCCTTGCCAATATTTAAGAGGGCTATCCTCTCTCTCTTGTTGAGGTAACAGACTCTTAAATCCTCTCTTCCGACAGCTTAGCTCTTAATTCTCTGATCATCTTCGCTGTCCTCCTCTGAACCTTAAATTATTATTGGGAATTAAAGAGGAGTTAACTAAATGATGTATAAGGTGAAAGGGGGGTAGGCTCAAATGGGTAATAGTGGGGGAAAATCTTTTAAATTGTTCGAATTGGGATGGAATTTTTGAAATGATGTAACAACATGCAATGAAATGACAGATAAAAGTATGAAGTTTAATGAATATGAAGATATAAGAATTAGAGTTAAAAGAAATAGGTCAAGAAATGAATAGTATATAAAATAAGTTTGAGAAAAGTATTTGAGCAAATTTATAGAAAACATGTAATGTAATGATAGGATATGAAATTAAATGTAAAAGATGAATATGTAACTAAGGTCATGTTTGTGTGAAAATGTGAAAACCTGGGATCATGCTGTTCACTAAAAAAGATGTTTTTGAAATGTGAAACAATAAAAAACTTTTTACAAAAAAAAAAAGGAAAGAAATTTGGGGCTGGAAGGGACCTAGGAGGTCCTCTATCCCAACCCCCCTCTTCCCTGCCCTTAGCCAGAGAGACAAGAGAGGTGGGGTCTCCCCAAGGAAGAACAGAGTGGATTTATATCTTCGCATGATTTGGAAATTATATATTCCACCAGAAAAAGGGACTTTTTCACAACACGCCACTGAAAGACCAAATTGTGTTTCTTCCCTCAGGACCCAATTTGTTTACATAGGAAAAGATAGGATGATGATCTGTTCTCCAAAGCTCCTGAAGGCCGGACAAGAAGCAAAGGATGGAAACTAATCCAGGAGAGAAGCAACCTGGAATTAAGGAGGAATTTCCCGACAGGGAGGACAATTCACCAGTGGAACAGAAGTTGCTTCCAAAAGTTGTAAATGCTCCCAACACTGCATCCAGTTTAGGTCACCACACTATAAAAAAGAGGGTGAGACTCTAGAAAAAGTGCAGAGAAGAGCAACCAGGATGATGAGGGGACTGGAGACCAAAACATATAAAGAACAGGTGCAGGACCTGGGCCTGGCTAGTCTAGTAATGAGAAGGACCAGGGGAGACATGATAGTAGTCTTCCAATACTTGAGGGGCTGCCACAGAGAGGAAGGGGTCTCAAGCTATTCTCCAAAGCACTTTTGAAGGCCAGACAAGGAACAATGGATGGAAACTGACCAAGGAGAGATTCAACCTGGAAATAAGGAGGGATTTTCTAACAATGAGAACAATCAACCCATGGAACAGAAGTTGCCTTTGGAAGTTGTGGGAGCTTCACCCCTGGAGATTTTCAAGAAGAGACTGGACTCCCATATGTCAGAAATGGTGTAGGGTCTCCTGCTTGGGCAGGGGGTTGGGGTTGGGGTTGGACTAGAGGACCTCCGAGGTCCCTTCCATCTGTATTCTGATCGACTGGCCTTGGTAGAGGCCAGATCAAGGGGTGGAAACTCAATGGGACACTATTTCTCAACTTCAGCCATTTTACAGCCTCTTCCAACACTTTCATTCTGTAGTTTTCTTTACATGATCTGCTCCTTGATTTCCTAAAGGTGTCAAAACACTGGATACAATTAGGACCCTGAACAGAGCGACGGAAGGGATCTTGGAGGACTTCTAGTCCAACCCCCGGCTTAAGCAGGAAACCCTGAACCATTTCAGACAAATGGTTGTCCAATTTCGTCCCCATCATCTGTATTTGTGAGAAGGACCAAAACAAAAAAAGGGGAAAAAGAGAGGCATTGCGTAAATTCCAAGGTTTGCCCAAGCTTCCTGTTACTTTATTCAATCTTCAATTGCTACAAACTTCCCTAGAAGCAAGAAAGCTAATCTTTGTATTTACTCACACCAAGGTCTTGCAATCCACTGATTGCCAGCTGCTGTTTGGAAACACACACTTTTCTTGGTAACATCTAGCCTATAAAAACTTCCTCCGAGAACGTGAAAGCATGCAACTTCTTTTCTTGGGTGCAAATAAAGATTCTTGCCTGTTAGAGGGTTGGGGTGCTATTCCTACAAAGTGAAACAGCTAGAAGTGGTTTGCATTTTTTTAAAAACAGAAATTTATGTGACTTCGGGGGGCGGAATAATAAAGACTTTGCATTAACGTGTGTCAAAAGCCCTGGTCTTTCAGGGCAAACTAACTGGGCCCAACTAAACCAAGGGGGTTAACTCACATCATCCCTGTTTTCCCAAACTAACTTGGATAGTTACAAGGCTGCTACTTGCTTGGTAACATCTCCCTTGTGGCTATGAAATGAGGTGTTACCACTTAAAGGAAATGTGTCTCAACCGTGGCAGCTTTAAGATGGGCGAGAGATTCTCAGACATCCAGGCCATGATTGTCCCCAAAGGTGCTTTTTACAAGAGGCAACTGGACTTTCTTGTTTCTTCTTTTGAAGGCGTTTCGCTTCTCATCCAGGGAGCTTCTTCAGGTCCGAGTGGATGACGGGGAAGGGAAAGATTTATGCTCCTTGCAGAGAGCTGGTCATTTGCATCCTTTTAGAGGGCAGTTGAGGCCACTTGGGGATGGATTCATCTGTGTCCTCAGGGTTCACCTGAATGGTCAAATGGTTCCTGAGTCTGCAATTTGTTTCCTCTGGAAATCCATTCCTACTCCCACACCATTCCAAGGGTGTTCATCCCAAATTGTATAGCTAAAAGTCTGCAGAGATTCTCCATCATCCAGGTCATGGCTGTCCCAAAGGTGCTATTTTTTAACAGGCAGCTGGACATTTTTTTCTTTTGAAGACCCAGCCTTCTGGGAATTGAAGTGCCACCCACCCACCCCCAATCTTAAAGCTGCCAAAGTTCAGAAAAACTGACTTTAAGGCCTATACAAAAGTTGAATCTTCCAATAAATAGGACCCATATGATCCAGTTCCGGCCCACACAATTACGTTGGGATGAAATTCAGACGGCAGACAACTGCAGATCTCAATAGTTCCCTTTGCTTTTCTTTAGCAACAGGGAACAACGAGAGCAGCCTGCTTCTCCAATGGCTTGAACACACCACCTTTCAGGTCAACCATCCACCTGATTTGGGTCCCAACCAGCGGCACACCACAATGATCTCCCCCCGAGGAGAGAGGGGAAAAAGACACACAAAAGAAGGGGGGGAAATTGCCTGATATAGAATTGAGCCCCTGGTCCTTTTACCCCAATACGGTCAAGAAACATAAGGAAGAGTGGTATTCTGCAGTTTTTTGCAGCTCTGATAACCTGTTTAGAAATGAAAGCTTTTGGCTAAAACGGATCCTAATTTAAATCCATACTGTTGGAAAGGTAAGCAAATACAGGGTACCTTCTTTCACGTATGGTGGCTTTGTCCAAAAGTTAAGAAATATTGGACCAAAATACAAAAAGGGTTAAAAGAAATTACGAAAGTCCAAATAGAATTTAAAGCAGAATTATTCCTTCTGGGAATTATTAAAGGGAATTATACAAAAGAGATAAAATATTTAATCCTGCATATAATAAGAGCAGCGAGATTAGTGATCACATAATATTGGAAAGGAGATTCTATGCCGACAAAATGTTTAATCATCCAAAAGATCTTTGACTGCATGGAAATGGACAAACTTTCATTAGAATTAAAAGAAAAGGATGACTCAGTTTATTATAGTGTGGGAAAATTGGTACCATTGGATAAACGATCAAAATAAGCAATTAAATAAATAAGGAATGTATAATTTAGAAAGATAGGGATATATATATATAAATAAACAAATAGGAGTATAAAATATGCACTGGAATAATTGAAATGTAAGCACTGTCAAAATGGATTGTAACATATATAACACTCTCATTTTAAATATTTTGTAGTTTGTATTTTAATAAATTTTTTAATAAAGGTAATTTTAAAAAAAGAAAGCTTCTATAGATAGTCCTCGACTTACAACAGTTCATTTAGTGACCGATCAAAATTACAACATCACTGAAAAAAGTGACTAGGACTATTTCTCACACCTAGAACCATTGCTGCATGCTTAAGTTGCATGAATTTTGATACTATGATCAAAATTCAGAGGCTTGGCCACTGGCATGTACTTCTGAGGGTTGCAGTGTCCCAGGTCACGTGATTCCCCTCTTGCGACCTTCTGATAGGCAAAAGGGGGAGCCAGATTCACTTAACAACCACGTGACTAACTTAAGAGCTGTCAGGGATTCACTTAACAGCTGTGGCAAGGAAGGTCATGAAACAGGACAACATTCATTTAACCGCTGTCTTGCTTACCAACACAAATTCCCTGGCTGAATCGTTGGGACTACCTGAACTTGGCAATATCACCAATGAATCCTGATCCCCAAGACAGGTGATTATTCAAACTTGGCAATTCTAAGGTCCTGGCTGGGGAATTCTGGGAATTGAAGTTCTGCCCATCT